AAGGACAAGAACAAGTTCAGCAAGGCTCCACCCTCAGATCTGACTTGGCTGTTACAGGTACCAAAATATATTCTGATGCTTCTTGGCAAAAGAAGAAATGTTCCTGGGTATGGAGGCAATCCAATCCAGCTACTGGAATCGGAGTTCACAAATCACATCCTCATCCCCAACGACAATTCTGATTCAAGCCTCTACTCATGATGTTCATTCACCTCTAATTCAAGAGTTGAACCTGTCTTTAGTTGTTCTCATTCTTCTCGTGCCAATGTATCTTGCCCTTTTCTGCAATCTTTTTCTCAACTTTCAGGTTCAGGGCTATGTAACTCATGCTGTGCATTGTCTATGAGTTGAATGAAATAGTGGCACTTGATGTCCTTCCTTGTCCTTGTGTTCAAAATAAAAATAAAAATAAAAATGTCGAACTGCAGGTGCGCGACTTGGCACACCGCACTGTGGATTGGGAGGAATGCCTGGTAGTCTGGCACGCGAACCACACCGCGCACTCCGCAAGGTACCGGTGCTATGATAGCAGTAGGCAGTAGGCAGCGTGTCCATCGATCCGGCGGCTCTTGGTGAGGGAGAGACTGATCCTACTAGGCTGCTACCGCTATCCGTCCGTAGGAGAGCGGCCATGCAGTGCAGGTATAGCCCGCTGATCCGACACACCGACACCAAGCCGGCGGGCATCGTCTCGGCCGTCCGGGTAGGGCAGTAAATTTCCGTGGGAGCGCCGCGGGGTCGGTGGGTGGTCTCTACTGTACGTCCCGTCCGTTGCCCACGCAGAGAGCCTCACAGTCAGTCACAAGACGACGTGTTGTTCGTGGGGCGGCGTCCTGCTGTTCCTCGATCCCGTCCCGCCGGCCACGGTCACGACGTGCCCGGCGTACGTGCTGTCTGGGCTGCTGTTTCTTGTTTCGTTTTTTTTTTGCCTGAACAGCTGCCTGAATGCCTGATCATTTCGTAATGCAAGCTTGTCCGTGAGCAGCGCATACGTACGGCCCATCCATCCGAGATGAACTACCATCATGTAGGGAGTACGTGAACAAGCAACTGTTTTGCTTTCCCGTGTGCACGCTAATCACGGATGTAAGCTGGAGCAAGGAACGGTATGAGTAAATGCAGAGAATCCAATGACTTCATCTATTTACGACAAACAGAAAAGTGGGGAGGCGACAAGGCTGGCCTACCCCGACCTGATCGGATCATATCAGACCAGGTCATCCTGACCCTGGACCCGTGCTCCATGATGACCATAGGCGATGTTCTCTTCACATTAAAACTGGGCAAGGTACTGGTACTATGATAATCGGTCAGTTCCAATCAATGAAACAAGATGATGGTAGTACCTTCTGGGATTTGAGATCCAACAAGTGTGTCTTGCATGCACTGAACCGCAATGCACGAGTACACCAACGAGTGGAATTAATAAGAGTACCCAAAGTTCAGAAAGAAACCGAACTGTTCTCGCGAAAAAAATAAAATTCATCATGAACAAGGAACCTCTTTCTTTTTTAGGGAAAAACAAGGAACCTATTTGCATCGACGGAAATACTCCATCTGATCTAATTTATAATGCATCCACGCACATTAAGATTTAAAACCATCACTTTGACAAGTGGGGCGTTTTGGAGCTCGGCCTCCATGGAGGCCAAAATGTTTGAAAATTTTAAAATTCAAAATTTTCTGTTTCAAAAAAATCTGAAAAAAAATTGTATAGTGTAGACAAGGATGTGATATGTATTTTTTCAAAAGAAAATTGAAACTTGGAATATGAATTTTGAAAATTGCAAATGGAGGCCTCCATGGAGCTTGTCCTCCAAAAGCAATTTTCGCACTTTAACCATAAATATAGCATACATTAATTACTCCAAAATATGTTAAATACCGAAATATGCAAACAACGAGTTAGAATGGCGTTTCACAGATGAAAGCAAGTTAAAAAGAGAGCCATGGAAATCAAACAAAAGTAGCTAATTAACTATAGCTTTGTCACTCTAAGTCCTTCTATTACCAGCTTACAACGCTTACGGCCGTTGGTTAGTCTTTGCCCTAGTTTGCCAAGTTTGCATATGTTTCGACAAGTTTTTAAAACTTCATCAAGTTTCAACCGCCGAAACTTAATACGAACGAATGCCAAAATCATCAAGTTTCAGAAACTAAAATTGAAAACTTGATGTGCCATCATGCGAAATCCATTGGTTTTGTGGATCACGAAGCAACCATGCGGCCAGGCATGGCTGGGCAGGTGCTTGCCCCCACATCTGAATGCCCCTTTGAATTTCTCTAGGCTTGTGCTTATTTATTTTCTAAATATTGTTGTGGATGACAGGCATACCATCATCACCAATTGAATCTTTATGATTTTAGATTAGGATAAATACACTTTTTTGAATAGTCTCATAATATGGGATTAGTGGGGAGCCAAGTCACCAAGAGGCAAGGGGTGGTTACATAGCATGAGTGTGGTTGTTCTACATCCAGACACACTGCACCCATGATGAACAGTAAAAAAGCAAACAAAATTAAAAATTATGGAACTTTATGACTTATATTATGACCAAATGTTGTATGTGCTTACACAATTTGATGGCGAAATGACATCCGAGGAGCTCCATGCAGAAAATAACAAAACTGGTGCTCAAACTTTTGTGCACTATTGAGCACTTTTTTTTGTTTTGTTTATATGGAGCTCGTCGGCTGTTATCCAAATGTTGCAAGAGCCTACAAAATTTGGTCATAATCAAAGCCACAGCGTTTCAATTTATTTTTTATTTTTTATTTTTTATTTTTTTACTAATCATCATGGGTGCAGTGTGTCTGGTGTAGCCACAACTTTCCCTACATAGCAACTGAAAAATAACATTGATTACATAGAATCAAATTAATGTATGTAGCCAGTTTGAAGGAGATGAAAAATATTCCAATGTTCACACCGATTGACTAGGTACTGTCGTGCACTGTGAAATGATGTACTCTTGTTGTAAATCAAGACAAAAATAGACCATACAAAGTGTACTTACGCCAAGAAAGAAAGTGATACGTCAAGGTTTGTGTATTGTTGAGGCTCCTCTGGACAAAAATATACTTTGGAGGAAAACAAAGGACTCAGAGCTTAAGGGTAAATTTCGACTAATTCATAATTGCAGTATTGCACCAAGCCCAACAACAGTCACATGATAGGGCATTAGCTCTAACCTCATGAAAAAGATTTGTTCCTTGGAAAGTTATAATGCATCATCTCTCATTCTCTTCTTTCTCTCTCTAAGCAAGTAAGGCATAATCTAAAAAAAATGTTGTGTTTTTTACTTGTGCATCATCAAACGCTTCTTCTCGAGTACTCAACTACTACTGGTATCGTTGGTATCACGGATATCTAACATGTAGTGCAGTTTAAATACTTGGAAACTTTATTTTGAATTTTGATTCCTGCTAGTACTTCTTAAAGGCAGTGATCTATTCAGTACCACACATATTTCTGGACTAAATAGTTTAGGAATCTATCATGAGAATTACTCCCTCCTTCTGAGTTCACAAAGCACCTAAGGAAAAAAAAGGGTCAAACACTAATGAAGCCATGCCAAACATTCCCCCTGATTAAACGTACACAAACCCTCCTCAAAATTTGGACCAAACTTTGACTGTGAATTTGAGTATTTGGCTAAGAAATTATGAGTAATATGGCACAGTTTACTACCTACCATTGGGTTCGTATTTGAAAGAGCAGTTGCAACAATGCTATAGGTATTTGCTAAAAGAAACAATGCTATAGGTACGACATATTTCAGTCGAACACCCATACGATTAGAGATGAGTCAGTTTGTGGGCCTTTGCATGTTGCATGTATTTAGTATGGTCGAGCATGTATCGGACAAAATTGATGGTTGCGTTGCAGTTGTGAGTTGTGTAACAAATATATTTGAGCATGCCCTCCAAAATATATTTAGGCACTTAGGAAATTTATAAATGTATCATTTCAGTGTGTGGACATCTCTAGCTTGATTAAATAGATGAAAATTTAGCTCCGTCGCATCACTATGAGAACTTCTACTCCCTAAGTCCGGGTTTGTAACTCGGACACGGATTTTAGGTACTCAGTTTAAGTAACAAGCTTGTATACCATAAAATACATGTTTAGAAACTTCATTCCACAATGAATCTAAGAATAAACATGTAGACCACATGCATATTTTTACTCCATATATACTTTCTACTACCTCTCTCTCAGTTTACAGGACGTGCGTGTATCCCTAGGTCGTCAATTTGACCAACCTAATACAAGTCATATATTACAAAAAATATACCAATATAAACTTCGGAGTTTCTACTTTCAAAAGATATAATTTTTGTGTTATATAGTTTATATTAAGGTGATAAAATTGACAACCTAGATATACGCGCAAGACTTGTAAACTGAAACGGAGGTAGTACTCTACTAACCCTATATAATGTATTTTCCCCAAGAAAATCCTATATAATGTAAATATTATGATACACCTGCAGCTGTTAAATGCTCACATCGGAAGTTGTTGCAAATCCTACAAAGGATTGCATTGGAAAAGAAAGGGGTGGTAGTAGCATGCATGTGAAGCTAGACTGACTACCTCAGCTATTGGCCAACAAGCTATCATGACACAGTTGGCGCGCAGCTGCGCGCTAGCTAGCTGCTAGACTCGTACTCATAGATGCGATGCCCAAGAGATCATTTGAGGCGGCCAAAGGATCCTGATTGACTGGCCTCACAGGCCAGGTCTTTTGCCGTGCATTGTCGAGCTTTAATTAATGCATGGTTGTGTACTTGTATAGACAATTAGACATGCACGTATGAACAGATCTATGCTCTCCATTAAGCAGGTGGTATATATGGAGGTATTTCATGTTCTTCCTGCTAGTATATGCAACCAAATCATACTGTACATAATACTCAAAAAAGGAGGAAGAACGATTGATGCTAGCCATCAATTGCTTGGATCAAGAAGCAAGCACCAGAAACAAATTAAGTATTAATCGACCCAGAAGTTCCTATAAGAACATCGCAAGAAGGAGATCCACAAAACCAACGAAGAACATACAAACGCATCAGATCTCCAAAGAGTGATCGAAACAAGCAGGGATAGATAAACCTGTGGTGTTTGAACGAATACACATGATAAATAGGGGACAGATCGATCGATAAGATCATATAATAAAGGACTGATGTAGCACATAACATAACGCGGCATGACATACTTTAGCAACCAGCAGCAGCTCACGTCTTGTCTTGCATAAGCAGGTAATAGTTCCTGTGAAAATAACACGGACGTCGATTCGGACCAAGTCGCTTGATTCCCCATGGCCATGGCGGCGTGGCGTACGAAGAAGAGGCAGCGCAGCTCTGGAGGAAGAAGGAGAGGAGGGAGGAGGAGGCTAGAAGGAGATCGGGTGCATCGATCTGATCTGATAATGGCTTCTTGACTCACATGAGCACTAGAATAACCCCAAAACCTAGATCATCATCATGCACCATATCTCTAGCTAACACCTCACCTCTGACCCCTTTTATCTTCTCTCTCCTCCGCCCCCCTCGTACACCTGCAGATTCTCTTTCCTCATGAACTATAGCTCCCCCGGCCTCTCCTTGGAAGTAGGTGCCGGAGGAAAGAGGAGGAGGTGGTGGTGATGATGGCGAAGGGCCCAAGGTGCTCGAGGCAGCATGATTGCTTCTTGGAAGTTGGGGGAGGAGGAGGAGGAAAGGGAGGCGCTCCTAGCATCACATGGTGTGGAATGACGGGGCTGTTTGGTTCTAGGACTAGCATTGTCACATTTTGCCATACATTTTTGCCAAGCTTGCCTAAGGTTAGTTCATCAAAATAAGAGTCATAAGTTGGCAAGCCTACGGAAATCTTGCCACACTTTTTGTGTGTATGTCATGTGGGCCCAAATATGACTTGCCTAAGGTGTGACTTGAACCAAACACTCATCTAAATTGGTCAAATTTGCCTAACCTTAGATGTGGCAATCTTTGGCAAAGTTAGTTACAAACCAAACAGCCCCGTCCTCTATTGGTTTCTTGGGCTTTTCATCTTCTTTCCAGGGGTCTCCCTCCCCCCATGATGTGACGGTGATCTTAGTGGATGCTGGATATGGATGGTGGTGATGGGGTTTGGCTAGTCTAGAAGGTTTTATTTAGCGATAATCCTACGTCTACATAGAGCAACGGAGCTTTTACGGGAACATTTAAGACTAATTACCTCCCCCTGAATTTCACACGGGTGGCCCCCTCCTCCCTCCATAATCCAACCAGAAAATGCCACCTAACGCCAACCGTAAAACCTGTAAAAACCTATCCATGACTCTAGCATTACTCTTTATTTATTTATTTAGGGCATTTTAAAGGGAGACAAGATTATTTTCAGTACCCGGTGCCCCTACACCTTCTATGAACAGTAAATTCAAAACAAATTTAAAAAAAATCAAAAAATATGAAACTTTGGGACATCAAACATGATCAAACTTTTGATGATCTTGCAAAGTTTTAGCTAAAAAATCCTAAAGTTTATGTACATTTTTGAGCGGTGATTTTTTTGTGAGGGCTCCACGAAGGTTATTTGTTGCTGAAAATTTGCAAGAACATCAAATTTGTGATCATCTTTGGTTCCTGGAAGTTTCAGATTTTTTCATTTTTTTTACGAATTTACTGTTCATGAGGGTGTAGGGGCACCAGGAGCTGTTACTTCTTTCTCTCTTTGAAGGCCTCGTGTTATCCAGGTCTTCCTCTTGTGCCCACTAAAAAGAAGTACACATATTTTTTGTAATACTTGCAAGGCAAATCGCTAAATTGTATTTGGATTACAACTTCTTTTCGAGAAGACCATGGTCACATGTGAAAAATGTTGAACCCTTATGAAAGTATCCTTACAAGAAAAACACAGGTTCTTCTGTATATATCAACGTCATCTTTCTTCTGTACTTGTCGGGAGCAAAGCTCGATTCCGCCTTTGGATCTCCATAGCACCTTCAGATCCAGGGTAATGTTGTTGACACAACAACCAAGAAGTCGCCGACCGGAGCCAGAAGAAGTCGAAGACGACGAATTGAGGATCAGATCGTCGTCTCAGTGAAGAAGGCAAGGCCTCTCTGGTTATGTCTAATCGTATCTAGGATGGTTGTCCAGCCCTCCTCCCGGGTCTTTGATTAGCCGCGACCGAGGAAGAAGTGGTTGGTATGACACTAACATCGTATGGTGTAAATATAATATGTGATTGTATCGAGTACTCAACAGTGCATGCTTGAGTAAGTACATCACAGACAATACACACACAACTACTAACACAAATCAAACTGATACCATATGGGATTATATCGAGTACTCAACAACGTACACTTGGATTCATCTACGAGGGGGTAAGCACATA